CGGCAAGAACTCGGCCGCCCCACGGCTCCCGGCCCGGACGGTATTCCGGGCCGGATATGGGCCTTTGGCCTTGGACGAGGTCGACGCTCCCCTGAGGCGTCTGTTCAACAGGTGCCTCAGTAAAGGAGTCTTCCCCGGGTCCCTGGAGGAGGGCAAATCTAGTCCTCCTTCAGAAGGAGGGCAAGCCGCATGACGCCCCTTCGGTGTATCGGTCGATATGCCTGCTGGACGATGTGGGCAAGCTCTTCGAGCGCATCATAGCGGCCCGTATCGTCCGGCATCTGTCCGGAAGTGGCAGAGATCTCGCGGAGGAGCAGTACGGCTTCCGTGGGGGACGATCAACGATCGACGCTATCGACCGCGTCAAGTCCTTCACTGGGGCCATTATTGCTGGGGGGGAGTTGCGTTGTTGGTCTCGTTGGACATAAGTAACGCGTTCAACTCCCTCCCCTGGGATGCAATACGGGGGGCGGCACAGTACCAATGCCTCCCAACATACCTACAGAAGGTCCTCCACGGCTACTTCCGCGACAGGGTGCTGGAATACGTTGACGCGGAAGGGCTCCGACACCACAGGGGCGTCACGCGCGGGATTCCGCAGGGGTCCGTATTAGGACCCCTACTATAGAACCTCGCGTTTAATCGGGTTTTGCGGCTTGTCCTTCCCCCCGGCTGCTACGTGATCTGCTATGCGGACGACACGTTGGTGGTGGCCGGGGGGGATGACTGGGAGGGCGCTCTGGCGGCGGCCAGTGAGGCCGTCGCGGATGCTGTGCGCGAGATTAGCGACTTGGGGTTAGAGGTGGCGGCCCATAAGACAATGCCCATGTTCGTCCACGATGACTTCCGCGGACCGCCCCCACTCGCAAGATTGCTGATCGGGAAAGTCCCCGTGGAGGTTGGGCCCCATATAAAATACCTGGGGCTCACCTTGGATGGCCAATGGGGGTTCAGGAGGCATTTCGACCTCCTGGCCCCTAGGGTGAAAGCGGTAGCCAATCGGCTCAACCGCCTTTTACCCAATTTAGGAGGTCCGAGCGCCAAAGTTAGGCGACTCTATGCCAACACCGTCCACTCGGTGGCCCTGTATGGGTCACCGATATGGGTCCAGCACCTGGCGGAGGATGACAAAAGCCTCCGCCAGATGAGGCAGGCGCAGCGCCGTATCGCGCTGCGCCTGGCGCAGGCCTATCGGACGGTGTCGCACGCGGCGGTTGCGGCCGGGACGCCCCCCATCGACTTGCTGGCATTTGGGCACGCCGAGGTTTATCGGCGTGTCCGCCAGCTAAGGTCACAGGGGGCACCCCTAACTAACAGGGCTGTGGAACGAGTTCGTCAGGAGGTGCGACGCCGGATCGTAGAACGCTAGATAATACAGCTATACGAACCCGGCGTTACAGGTGTTCGGACGGTCATCCGCCCCTGCCTGGAACAATGCCTTGGCAGGGGACACAAGGGCTTGACCTTCCGGCTAGTGCAGGTGCTAACCGGCCACGGCTGTTTCGGCCGATACACTGCATTGGATCGGGAGGGAGCGCATAGCCTACACTGTGCGGCGGGCGAGGACACCGCGCAGCACACACTCGCTGAATATGTCGCATGAGAGGATGAGCGCGGAGTCCTCGCTCCAGTGATAGGCGGCGACTTCTCGCTGCGGGCCATCATACTAAGGATGGTCGACAACGGGGAGGCCAGGAGGGCGGTCTCCTCCTTCTGCGAACAAGTTATGTCGCAGGAGGAGAAGGCGGAGCGGCGGAGGGAGGAAGAATTGTCTCCCTCCAGTAGTCGCTTAGCACGGGGTTGTAGGGGGGGCTCACGCCGGAGCCGGCTACCTTGGCTCCGGCAGCCCCCCACGGATACTACCTAACCCCTGTGGGGGGGAGGCGAGTAGCCCTCTTCCCCCCATCAATTTTTGGGTTGACTTGGCTCAGCCAAAAGCAGAGCCTTCCGGAGGGTCCCCAAATGGGGGATGAATCTCCCCCTGCCCGGGGACAGGCGCGGGAGGGTTAAACCTCCCGCGCACAAGAGACGGGATTGGATGGGCCTGGTGTCACCTACCCCTCCCCATCCTCCTCCCTCCAATATCTGGGGGAGAATGACGGTCCGCCTCTCGTGGTGGGGGAGGGCTTAGTCCCCCATCGAGAGGAGCGCGCCCTACGGGGCGCGCGAGCGCGGGGCGGCTGGGAAGTATATCGCTGATGTTCACCGGCCGCCCCAGAACAGCGCTCCGGACGGCAGTCGTGTGGTTTTAGTGGATATGGGGTCAGCTATAGGCCCGAGTCCCACACTCTCCCGGGCAAACTCAATGCCTGGGAGATCAGTGCGTAAAGAGCATTTCCACACGTTAAAAAAAAGGTTCCCCCCTCGTGATGGGCCACCTTGTCGTGGTGAGGGGGCTCCCTGATACAATGACCACCTGTTGGCAGTACCGAAGTTCTACCCCGACTTCCAGGGACTGGCTCTTCCGGGAGCCAGTACGGGCCTCGCGCACTCGGAATATCCGAGCTGGTGTGAATGGGAGAGAGCGAATGTATTTGTCTGCATGGGACACGGTGGAGGGCCCCTGGATATTCCCGGTAGACTAATCAAGGGGGGAGTAGTTGCCCCCCGACCGGGCCGGAGGGTTGAGGCTGGCGTCGCGGCCTCTGAAGTAGTAATATGGGTAACCGTAAGTCCCGCAGCCTCCTCCGGGAGACTGCGGGCAAAGATCCCGTGAACCCTCATGCCGCGATGGCCGCTCTCTCTCTAGTGGCTGGAGCCTATGTCGGGGTTGAAGAGGGTTCGACGGCGTGTGTGTGGGGAGTTATGTGGTCAGTATTCTTCCATACCCGGAGCTGCATAGGGCAAATTGCAGCACTGTCTAGCCTGAGGCACGGATGTCCGCCCTTCGGAGGGGTACGAGTCCGTGTAATAGGGGTGATGTTAAACCTCTAGCATCACTTATGGCGTGGGCTTATCCCGAATCCTTTTTTCATTAGAGTCACTCACAGTGCAGATAGGGTGGGCCGCCCGACAAGCCGCTTCTCGGCTTCTGTACTCTTCACTAGGAATATCTTTTCAACGGGGATGCAGCCCTACCGCGCCCTAGGACTCCCATGATGGGCGAACCGTTTATATCAACATGTACAGGAATGGATCCGCTTCAATCAAACTCACCAGATGGATCATTTAAATCGACCGAGGCTACCTTAATGGACAAGAGTCTACTCCCGTGGACCCGCGCGGGTTACTGGCTGCGAGGAAGTGAGGGTGCGCGTGGAGCACCTCTCTCCTGAGACGTCTAGGAGACTGAGTCTGGGGACATCGTCCCACCATCGCCGACATTGGGGGATCGTTCGGTCGGCTCGTGCGACCCCTTGCCACAGGACGAAACGGCTTTGGCTAAGCCAAAACTTAGGGGCCGTCCTCCTGTCCTAATTATAAAAGCCCCCTATAGACCCACTCCGAAAGAGGCGGCCACCTCCTGGCCCACTGCGAAGTTGGGTGGAACATGACCCGTCCCGAGGAGGATCGAATGTCCACTACCAGCAGCGTTCTACGCGGAAGAGAAGAGCTGTCATCATGGACAGTGATGACTCTGGTGACGGAGCTAAAGAGAAGGAGGAGATTGACGACCCTGTTGATCTCCTTATGCCGACGGTCCACCTCGGAGCGAGGCTGGCTTATTTCGCGGACGAGGCCGAATTGCTGCGGTCTCGCTGCAAAAAATTAAAGGGAGAATTCTCGGGCAAGTTCCGATCGTATTTTGGAAAGATGAAGATCATCTTGGAAAAACTGACCAGGAGAGCTGAATCCAAGTCCGACGACGACAGGCTCAGGCGCTCGGTAACGTCTCTCACGCGAGAAGTGAAGTTTCTCCATGAGGAAATTCTCTCTCTTAAAAGGGAGAACAAGAGGCTCATGCTGGAAAACCAAAGGTCCAGGGACAGCAGTGATAGAAATGTGGACTTCCCTGTGGCGGTGAAGGAGACTGCCTCCTCTCCTCCCCGTCCAAAAAAGAGGTCCCCGCCCAAGGATGCTCTGGGGGATACTAGGAAGAAGTCCTATAGCGAGGCGTGCGCATCGACTGCTCAAACAGGCAAGGAGTTTTTTAGCCTGCCTGTGGTAGAGGAGAAGGTGGCTACGGCGGTATTTAGACGCAGTTGATCTGTTTACCTCTCACAGTCTCCTTGCTCCTCAGGCGTTGGCTGCATCTGAAGGAAGAGGAAAGTAGGTGCTCTCAAGAAGGTTGAGATCAGGGAGGTTTCCAGTGGAGCGGACCCCCCCCTAGAAGCGACGGTCATTTCTGTCCAGGAGATCTTTTCCCGATGCCTCCGATCCGTCGACTACCGATGCGTTTCCCCCGTCCGCAACCGATACGGATGGGAAGTGGAGATCCGTGGGGGAGAAGGGACCAAAAAGGGAGAAGGGTCTTGAGGAAGGATCTGAGAGATTCTCCTCTTCCCCCCCCCCCTCTACCCAGTCTGGGGAAAGGGGGGAAGGGAATCCCTCAGGGGGTAAAAGATGCCCGGAGTGGAAGGAATCAGGAGGGAAAGGGCTCGGGCTCTGGCTCTGCGGCCGTTCGCGGGGATAGACGTCGCCCTCCTAGATCATCTGTAGTCATCATTAATTTCAAGGACAAGAGTGTTACTTCCGAATCCTTTCGGAAAATTAGAGAAATGGTGCCTAGTCATCTTGGCATTCTTCGCTCGAGGGCTAGGTATACGGGCTCCGGTGACATCCTTATAGAGGTCCAGGGAGAGAACAATTCGGCCAAGGCGGATCTCTTGGCCGAGAAAGTGAAGCAGGTGGCAAGTCCTAGTATTAAGGTCTCGCGTCCGGTTCGTATGGCGGAGGTTAAACTGTACGGCCTGGATGACTCCGTCACCGGTCAGGAGATCGTTCGCGCGATCGCGGAGTCTGCCGGCTGCAAACCGGACAGTGTTGTTCCAAGTGAGCCTTTTAAACTCGCGAGTAGACTTAATGTAGTGTGGGTTAAGTGTCCCCTCGTCGCGGCGTTGAAGTTGGCTCGGGGAGGTCGACTGACTATCGGTTGATCCTCGATCAGGGTCTCTCTGATGTCCCAACGTAAGGCCCAGTTTTCGTTGCCTGGATTTCGGCCATCTTAGCTCTGCCTGTAAGAGCGAGGTGGACAGGTCGGGCTCTTGTTACAAATGCGGTAAAAAGGGTCACATCGCTAAACTTTGTGCTGGTGAGTTACGGTGTGTTCTGTGTTTCGAGGCCGGAATTCAGTACAACCATCGGATAGGCAGTGCTCGGTGTGATGCGATAAAGTTCCCCGGCAAACTGAAGCCAGTTCGGAGGCTGACTCCCGCGGAGGAAGTGCGCATGGAAGTTAACAATGGCTAGAGTGCTTCAAATTAACCTCAACCATGACAAAAGGGCCCAGGACCTCATGATTCGTTGGATGCTTGAGCGTAGGATATCCGTTGCCGTCGTCTCGGATCCCTACAAAACTCCCGGAACAGATATGTGGTACACGGTAACCAAGTATGTGCTATTTTGGTCCTGTATAACAGGGGGACCATCTCCTCCACGCTCGTTAAACGTGGAGCCGACTACGTAGTTGTCTCGATCAACGACTTGCGCGTCGTGAGTTGCTACTCTCCTTCGAATAGATCCGTGGCGGAATTCGGGTTGCTCCTCCACGAGCTGCACGACTTGTCTGCTGACTTTCGGTGTCACACTATTGTCGCGGGAGATTTTAACGCTCGATCCACTAGCTGGGGAGACCGAATCACCAATGATCGCGGTGGGGCCCTGGAGGATTGGCTCGACATGACCAGCTTTCGGGTGGTGAACGATCGGGGTGTGCCGACATTTGAGAGGCCACAGGGCAGGTCCGTCATCGACCTGTGTCTCGTGCCCAGTGATTCCTCTCAGGAGTTCGTGAGGTGCTCGGTGGACACCGTTAATTGTTCGTTCTCGGACCACAATTACATTTACTGGGATATCGCGAAGCCACGTTCTAGGGAATCCTTCACGAAATGCGCTGTCAAAGGTTGGAGTTTTGATAAGATCGATAAGGATAAGTTCAAAGGTTCCTTCTCCCTCTCCTCGGCTTTTGATGAGGCCGGTCAGGCCGCTTTAAGTGCGGATCAATTGATGAGGCGGGTCACGGACGATATTTCCTCCGCGTGCGATGTCTCTATGCCCAGGATCAGGACCAATCATCGAAGGAGGGTCTATTGGTGGTCCGATGAGATCGCGGCTCTTCGCTCTGTTTGTATCAGGGCGAGGAGACTCTACACTCGAGCGAGAAGGAAGAGGAATCCGCCCGAGGATCTGGGTGACTTGCGTCGTTCCTTTGTTAGGAGTATGAAGGCGGTTAAAGTTGCGATCAATAAGTCTCAACAGGCGGTGTGGAAT